GGGTAGCTGGTATTTAAAAGAGGGTGACAACGTGACAGGAGAATAATGTGTATATAGACAGTGAGTAATTGATCTGCAGTCAGAGAGTATTATTGAGCACGTTCGTTGTTATAGCGTTTGTTTTAGCGCGATTGTTGAAATTAAGTGTATCGTAAAGTTATATTCGGAAAGAATAAACCAGTTTTATTAAGTAAGGACTTGTGTCGCTAAAGTTTCGTCGGAACGAAGTTACGGAAAGTTAATTAACAAACGGAGACGTAACAATATATCAATATTTCGGCTTACGACTTTATCAGTCTTTGTGTCTCAGTTTGTAATGATAAGTTTCTAATGAGTCCCCAGGTGGGATAATGGCAAGTTTAGACTTAGAATGCTAAAATCCGGGACTCGATTCTCCGCGGTGGACACAGCAGATACCCTAACGTAGCTTTGCTCTAAAATAAACAAAGTTCCTTATGAAGCCTTAAGGTGAAGTGTCGAGCAACAAAAAAGTTTTCATTTTACTGAAGTTGCTGTCGTAAAATAAAGATAAAAATTCCCAACAAAATAATCCAGCTAGCATTCCCGACAATCAAGAATACGAATTTATTACAGTCATTCTTTAGACTAGTGTTAAACACATTTAAATAAGCCAGAAATTAATGAGTTATTGCCACCGGAGGACGATATTCTACACTTAAAAATGTATGATGTGTTATTTTTATTCAGTATAATAAATGTAAATACTATGGGTGTAGATCAGGGATCATTAAATATTTTAATAAGTGTCTCGGGCTAGCGAAGTAAACGTGTTTTTGAAACACAAAATTTAACGTTACATCCAGTTCTCAACCCAAAACTATTAGAAATATTATTTTCCCCACCCTTTGATCAAATTCTAGTATTTCATTGTTTTAGATTTTGCAAGTTAGTAAATTTGGTGCAATAGAATTACTGCTCACAAGATGTATACTAGTACCTTGAGAATTGAAGTTGAAATAGCTAAATGTTTATACTGAAAAAGTGTATCTTATCACAGAATATAATATTTCAAATGGAAATAACATATTTGTTATACTAGGTCAAACTATTAAATAAAAAACCGAATTAACAATAAAAATCATCATCATATTTGTGCGAACCTGTTCTTAAGTTGTGGTATTTTAAATATTTCATAAAGTACTACGGGAGTGATATTATTATTTAATAATGAATTTGATTTATATAACTATTTTTGCGATATTTCTATTTTTATAATTCCTAAATATTTTTAGTGTCTTATGATTAATACCTCACTATAAAAATCTTGTGATTGACCGAAAAGTCAATGGCACGGTTTTTATGTACCGAGCGGGTGTATTTGGGTCGTACATGTACATTTGTTTGTGGTCTCAAAAGTTAAATGTATGCCAAAAAACAAAAAGTAATTAATGAAGTTTAGTTAAAGGCATTTTGTTTCTGTTATTGGGTTTGGATCTATTTTAAACAGATGTATAAAAAATTAACCCTGTTGCTTTCGATTTTACTTCCTACTACTACTAGTATTACTTTTAGTAGTATTTCAAGTTGTAACTTGTAGTCCTAGGCTTGCCTTAGCTTGATTAGTCTAGGCCCCAGCTCTAAACTGTGTAACACTAACTACTCTACCATTAGTGAGTTTGGCTATCTGGCATGAATATATTTATCATTGTGCATTTACAATACCGATAAAATTAAACTTAGTTGTTGTTAGTGTTATTGTTTCTTTTAAAATGTATAAATATTTAATAAAAATGGTGGTGTATTTTTTTTACCAGTCATAACTTTTCAAATGGTTTCATAGGTTTTCATCTGTAAAATTAAAAATGAATGAACAGTATAGGGAGTTGATTGGTGAACTGAGACCAAAGTTTGTACGTTGTGTGGATACAGATTGTCTTATACCTTGTTTGAAAGCTAATGGAACACTGAGTTTTGATGATGTTAATGATGTGTGTAATCAAGAAAGTACAACAGCAAAGGCAGAAAAACTGTTAGATATTTTGCAAAACAAAGGTAGCCAAGCTTTTCAAAGTTTGTGTGTTGCACTTGAAACAACCTATCCTCATCTGTTGACAGTGATGTTTTTAGGAAGTACTCAGAAAATGGGAGGTATGTAGATCACTTTTTTTTAATGATGATATTCCCTTAGAACCTTGACTCAAGTTTGGCAGTACATTTTAGCTTTAGACATACACATGAACTAATGAAGATGAAAGCATGTATAAAACAAATATTTAGCAGTAGTCGAAAGATTTATTCCTTAAATTTCATAATTGTAGCATAAAAATCATAATGCCTGTTCTCTGTGACACATACTGATGTAGATTGAACAACAACGACAACAAAAAAAATATACTTTTCACAGGAAGTCCACTCTCTGATTCAGAGATTTTATTAACCCATACCAGGTCTCGCCAATACTGGGCTGAATATCTCAGTAGCCCGTTATCAGATATCTTATAAGTTTCAATAAGTTCATCTCTTACCCATCTTTTGTCAAGATAAGAGACCAAAAGTGCACACATTATTCCAAGGGAGGCATAGTTAGCAATTTGTACAAAGAGATAGTTAACACTTTTGACTTGTAATTAACTTATTTATAAATATATCCCAAAATAAGTAATTTATCTCCCATCATACCAAGGCCTGTTTCTTCAACCATACTTTTGAGTGAATTCCCATCTATTAAAAGTGTGATCCAAAATGAGGTAATGCCATATGCACTACTTTACACTTAATATAATTAATTCTTCGGCATCTGGTGGAATGCACCCATTGATTGAGGGCAAAGTTATACCATAAAATTACAATATTTGTAAAAATAAACATGTTATTCTTTTACAACTTTCATAGCCCATAGGAAGAAAGTTTAAATAGTTTTGACAAAATAGCATCAGTTTGAACCTTTTACTTCAACACAAGTATAGTTTTTAGAGCTTTGTAATTAACTAAATTAGTTGATATATTCTATCACCTTTGAACATTGATTACATCAATTAGAACCACAAAATAATTAGTTGGTCAAAATTACAATTATATTGATTAGTATTATATTCATATGAAATAATCAGTTAATCAAAATCACAATTAAACTGATGTCATGAAAATAATCAACTAATTAAAAGTAGTGTTTCTGATTGTTACTATTTTTGACTATTCCAATTATCCAAGTAATTGAAATAGTGTTATTATGATTTTCTCATTATTATTTTTTCAATTTAAGTTTGTTTAGCTTTGGGTCAGCGTGTCATGGCCTAGTGATTATGAGGTTGCTTTGTGATCAAAAGTCTTGAATTTGTTTCCTTTTGTTACCAAATATGCTCTCAATTTCATCTTTGAGGGTTTTTTTAGTTGTTTCTTTGTTCTTGAGTTATGATTAAGTTACTAAGGCAATATGCCATCATCTCTAATTTTAACTGCTGACTAGAGGGAAGGCAATCAGCTGACAGCATCCACTGCCAACTCTTGGACTACTTTAGTGTGAAATAGACTAAATTTCCTTTTTTTTGATATTGTGTTATGTTTCATGAGTAACTGTATTCTTAAATTTTGAATGAGGTGTGAACACCACACTTTTTTAGTTTCCTGAACTTGTGTTCCACTGGAAGTTGTGAAAGGTACTGACACATCTTGTACCTGCAGATGTTTGATTCCCTGGGCAAATGCTTCTGAAGTGGTATTCTTTATCCACATAATCGTGCCAATCTTTTAACCATGTGATAAAATGTAAATGTACTAATCAATTTTAAATAAATAATAACAAAATCAGTAAATTAATATAGCATTAAAATGTGAAAGTGTCAATCATTTTGTTAATGTAACAAAACAAACAGGACAAAATTTTATTTCATACTGTATTTTAAAGAATAATATTATACAAACATGTTCTGGGATTCATTATGTATAAATGGGTTGTAGTTGCAATATAACATTAACTCCACTGACCTTGAAAAATGGCCCAGGCTGTAAAAAAATATGTTTCTTTTCTTTCAAAAATGTCCAGAAATATAAACTGGATGTTTATTAATCAGTGGCATTTTCACCTGTTATTTTCATGAGCATGTTTCTTAATGAACACTCCCACATGATGTAACTTGAAATGGTCCTAATTTAAAATTATGTCAAGCGTAAAGTCAATGTTCTAATGATCATAATAAATTTATATTAGAATATATTACAAGATAGTTGTATTTTATTCTATCATTATTATGCTAATAAGCCTTAGTGCATAGTTTATCGTATGTTGCTTCTCAATACATTTGTGATAATGTCACATTTTTGTCTTCCCAAAACACAAAATTTGAAAATGTTGTTTTGTAAATTATGCTTATTTCAGATTACTGATAGGAACTATAAATCCTTTTCTGAGTAACAGTTTCTCAAAATATCCACCTCTAACAATGTTATTACACTTATTACTAGTATATACATAATTGTATGATTGAACTAATGTTAAATAGCATTTAGATCATTATATTTGGTAATGTATCTTTCATTTGATGCCATTACTAAGTAATGAACTTCCTCATTCAGATAAATAGCAAAATTGCAGGTGCTATAATATGTCTCTTGTACCCATGCTTGTTGTGATTAGGGAGTATCCTCTTCATTTCAGAAATTTTGGAACTAGCCAGATATTTTCCTTGCAATTGTTCATAGTTATTGACCTACTCTATGAAAGTGCTCTACTGTGACATTTTTAAGACAAACGTTTAAAATGCATATGGTATTGTGTAGATTGTTCAGTGCCCAGAAATAATGATTTGTTTATAGAAAGTTTGGAAAAATTGGTATTTATTTTATTTTGCAAATAGTATTGATGTATCAAAATTTGTTGCCTACGAAATGATTGTTTGGATTATTTGAGTTTATTTTATCTTGAGGACAATATTAACATATCAAAAACATATAATTGTACGTACATTTCAAACGAGTAGTTTTCTTTCACTACAACTTAGAGTTTAGAAGATAAATACTACCTACAATCCTACACATTGTTGTGTAAAAGAAAAATGATCACATTACAATCTTTATATTATCAAGTTAGTTTAGTTAATTTAAAGTTTGTTAGTTTGTGTTTAGAAGTATTTATTTGTAGTGCACATAGAGAAGAGTAAGTCAGAGAAACCAAGTGATAAGTACAAGGGATTGATAAAAAAACAAAGAAATGAGCCATAACTTAATCCTGTGAAGGATACTGCAAAAACTTAATTGTGAGGATGAAATTATAAGTAGGTCATTGAGGGCTGAATGCTAGGCTTAAGTTAATATGTAAGGATGGGCATGTTGGCTGGTTGGATTTATGGGATTGGTTCAATAGGAGAAAGAGAAGTTTTGGGAATGGCTGGTTTAAATTTCAGTCGGGTAGGGACTGGCTTGTTTGCAAGGGCTATTAATACAACTTTAAAAGGGTAGCTTTAAACTAGGACTAGAAAATGGTAAGGGGCAGAATAATGAAGGAAAAATAGGATTGTAGAGAAAGTTAGTGTAAGAATAAAAATACAAAAATAGTTCTAATTGTAGGCTAAACTGTTACTATTGTAATGCTAGAAGTATAAGAAATAACATAATGACTTTTGAGCATTATTTGGAACAGAGGATTTTAGTATAAAAGGAATAACTGAAACCTGATTAAACGTAAACAATTTTGATGACAGGAATTTCTTTGAGATACATGGTATTTAATAGAGTACTAAAAAGAGGTGGAGGAGTGGTTTTATGTGTAAAATGTGACTTACATTCTGTTCAAGTTGAGGATATCAAAGTTAATACCAATGAAGCTAAATTTGTTTAAGTTTTGTTAGAGGAGAAGGCTTTTAGTTGGAATTTGTTACAGAACACCAGATTAAACTGAGGAAATTAATGAGAAACTGTTAATGAGGTCATAATTATGGGAGATTTTAATATCGGGCACATATATTAGGAAATGTTAGTCTAATCATGAGAGAGACAAGATTTTAGAATTTGTTCAGGGTGGTTTTCTTCACCAGGTAGTCAAGGAACCTATTAAGAACAATGTATTTTTCAAAATTGTTAACTTCCAATACAGAAATAGTTGATAGGATGTGGACTAGAGAACATTTGAGTGAAAGTGATTGTTGCTTAGTTATTTTTGATGTTTTGCTGCATAGAAATAAGGAATTGTGAGATGTTGGTTCCAAATTTCAGAAAAGCAAATTTTGTAGGGATGAGATGTGAATTATTTGTTGTGAATTGGGCAGCTGAATTAATTGGAGATTCTGATTAAATGTGGAAAACTTTAGAAATGAATTTTTCAATCTTCAAGATCGACATAGAAAAAAAATAGAGTGGCTGTAAGTAGAAAAAGTAGGTTAGCTCACAAAGGTTATAAAGGATAAAAATAAAGAAAGGCATTATAAGTTTAAGAAGTTTAAGTTGTTTGCTATGATTGGAGACTTGGAGAAATATATATCAAGAGAGTTGGTCAAATAGTTAATTAGGGAATTGAAAAAACTAAGTGAAGAAAAGTTGGCTGAAACTGTTAAAACTAATTGTAAGAATTTCATTAAATACATTAAGAGTAAGCAAAATGTTAGGATTGGAGTAGAGCCTTTGAGGGATGATCCAGGAAGGCTCATATTTGATTATTATGAGTTGGCTGGGTATTATATTCTACTTCAAGTTTTACTAATGAAGCTTTATGCAATATTCATCATCCTGAACTGTTACTAATACAGAAACAAGATTGAACAAAATGGTGACATTAATTCTGAGCTATTTAAGAAAAAATTGGGAAGTTTAAAGAACAATAAAGCTCCTGGGTCAGGTAATATTTCTTCAATAGTTTTGAAGGATTGGATATGCGAACCACTTGTTACCATTTTTCCAAAGTCCTAGAATAATAGGCAGGTGCCAGATGATTTGAAGTTGGCTAATGTTACTTTGTTTTTCAAAGGAGACGATAAAAATTGGCCCAGTAATTATAGGCCTATTATACTTACATCAGTCTTGGGAAAAGGTTTTGAAAGTCTGATAAAAGATGCTTTGCAAATTCTATTAAAAAAATTTAATAAAATTTTGTTAGATAGTCAGCATAATTTCACTAGGTGAAAACCTTGTCTTACTAGTCTTTTGACATTCTTTGAAGGGGTTACTGCTTATGTAGATGAGAGTATGGTTGTGGATTTGAATTTTCAGAAAGTATTTGACAAGGTGCCACATAAAAGCTTTTTAAAAATTATATCTGTAGATGTGGGCGGTAGTTTAGCTCATTGTTTAGAAAACTGGCTGGTTGAAAGAACACAGAGGGTTGTTATAAAAGGAGTTCAGTCAGAATGAATTAATGACACAAGTGGGGTACTTCAGGGCTTAATGGTAGGACCTATGCTAATTTTTTGGTTTGTATCAATAACATAGATGAAGGAATGGTAAATAAAATTTATTAAAATTTGATGATTTTATGGTTTTGGGTGTTGCTAGCAGTGAGAAAGATGTTGCTGCTTTACCAACAGAGTTGAATGATTTGGTGAGTTGGGCAAATAAATTGCAGAAATGCAAGGTAATGCACATGGGATATAATATTTTGAATTCTGAATATAATTTTGTTGGGAATAACCTTAATGGTGTTATGAAAGAAAAGGATTTTGGTGTTCCAGTTGATTGGTCTCTCAAGCCATCATAGCAATGTGTTGTTGCTAGTGGCAGGGCAAATAGGATTTTTGGTTGTATCTACAGACCTTTTGAGTGCACATCCAACGAGGTTATAATTTCATTGGCTGGGTCACATTAGTAGTATTATGTTCAGTCTTGAGCTCCTTACCTGGGATGAAAAGGTTGTTGTATGAGGGCAGATTAAGATATCTGAAATTGTTTTTTCTTAAAAAAAAGAGAGTTAGAGGGGATCTGATTGGATTAGATAGTGTTGATTCATCATTTTTTTTTTTAAATTTAATGGTGAGAATGGTGAAGTAGGGGCCATATAGATTTTGATATGGTAAGAGTCATCTGCAGCTAAGACAGCTTTATCTAAGAGGGTGGTTGACCTTAGGAATGGGTTGCTGTCAGATGTAATGGTTTCAGTTAATTTAAAGGAGTTTAAGGGGAGTCTTGATAAAGATTTGAATGATAAGGATAGGCCTTGAATGTTTTTATTTTAAGTTTAGTTCAGTGAAAGGGATGGCCTAGATGGACCAACAGGTTCCTTGTTCCTAAATTGTTTGTAAAATATATAATTGATTTATATATATATATATAGTTTATATTAATGTAGTTATAGCTCTAATAAAGATCTAATTAAACATTAATTAAGAAGTGGTAGTTTCGGC